AGAATATAAATCATTAATAATTGAATATACTCTGAGGACACTGATAATGTTGAAGAAACCAAGGTGCAGTGCTTACACAGAACTAGTAAGGAGTAGGGCTGAGAAATTAGCTCTTTATGGCCAGCCAAATTGGTCAGCGGATTAAAGTGCCTGCAAGCAGGCACAGGGGCTGGGGGTTGTCTTGAGGTAGTGTCTCCCTATGCAGTTGAGCCTGGCCTTCAGCTCACGTTGCAGTCCAGGCTGGTCTTAGACGCACAATGATCCTCCTGCCTCAGCCTCCTGAGTGACACAAGCTGCTAGGGTGGTCTTCCCCTCGTCGTGCTGGTGCTTCCACTGATGCTGCCTTGCTGAATTTTCATTAAACCACATGCATGTTTTATACCGTCCCTTACATGTGTCCTATTTTGCAAGGGGAAGAGACTTCAGAAGCTTAGCCCCATAAACAGATTCTTCTCAGGTTCTTTGTCATGCTAGTACAGATTATCTCATACTATAATTTGCTCACATAAATATTTAATTGTATATTTTTAAATCACTTTAAGCAGGATAACTTAACTTTGGTATTTGATTTAAGTTAATGTTGATATGCCCAGTACCCATAGACATTCAGAAAGGAAGGAAGTCTCCACAAGGCTTTTTGTTGATTTGGTTTGGTTTTTGAGACAGGGTCTACTGTGTAGTTCAGGTGGGTCTCAGACTCCTGTCTCAGCCTCACAAGTATTATGACAGGTGTGCCCAGCTGCCCCACCTGGCTTTTGATTAGGGAAATTTTTATGAATGACTCACAAAGGTGAATCTACCAAAGCACAAGCCTTTTAGGCCGGATGTTGTGGTCGCTAGACTTGCCCTATTTATTTCCCCACTGAACTTTTTGTTTGGTTGGTTGGGGGTTGGTTGTTCTGTGGCACTGAGCTACCTCCCTCACCATCCTACCCCTTTTCACTAAATTGCCTGGGCTGGACTGCAACTTGTGATCTTCTTGCCTCTGCCTCCCAGAGTGCTGGTATTAGTGGTGTGTGCCACCATATCTGGCCACCTGACTGTACTTTGATCGGCTTATCCTTTTCTTCGTTTAAAGGGGACCACTGTGTGCACAGCCAGTTGCCTTCAGCTTCATAAGCGAGCAGAGAGGATTGCGTCGGTTCTGGGTGACAAAGGACACCTAAATGCAGGAGACAATGTGGTATTGCTCTACCCACCTGGTAAGTATCTGGTTATTGGTAGACTAGACTCTTCCACATACATGGCAGAGGACAGAATTCAGGGCAACATCAGCAACCACAGAAACAGTGCACTCCCGGCACCAAGAGTGCCAACCCAAGGGTTAAGATGTAGTGCCTCTGAGCCTCGCATGTGATGGATCTGCTAGAATCAGATCTGCTATCTTTACATTTCCATTGTCAGATCTTGGCACCAAAGGCACCCAGGAAATACTGAGTACATGAGTGAATAAATGAATACCTAAACTCTCTGACTTTGGAGCACCCTCGGAACAGGTGCTCTGAAGCTGGGCACAGGGGCTCTCACCTCTGAAGCTCAGACCCATTGATACAGTGACACTGACAAGTCCAGTTGCTTTTTCTGTACAGCCTTCTAGATATTTAACAAAATTCAGGCTTCCCTATGTAGGTTTCCTTGAGTTTTGCAGTTACTTTTTTGTAAGTAAACATCAGTTAATAACATTAACTTACCTTCAAGGGTCTGTCAAGTTTACTTATGATTTCTTCTTTGCTATATATTCTTGGCTTCTCCTTGTGTTTTTTGTGTTGTCGTCCATCCTCACCACCCCCCCACCCCCCCACCCCCCAAACCGGGAATTGAACTGAGGCCCCTGCGCTTGCCAGGGAAACGCTTATTCCACTGAGCCATCTCCCCAGCCCCTCCCTGTACTTTTAAGTTGTTTTATATGCTTCATCTTCAATCTCTTAATTTTTAAAATTTATTCTGCTAGTATCTTGTTCAATTGTGGTCTACATAACTTGTGTGGCTTGATTTCATAAACTGGTTTTAGAAGATCTACATTTAGTTTCTTAGAGATATTGGAAAGGTGGTTGTTTTGTTTGTTTTTGTTTGTGGTTTCTTTTGGGGGGGGGGTTGTTAAGACAAGATCTTGCTATCTATGTAGCTGGGGCTGGCCTTGAGCTCACAACACAGTTTAAGGCTGCTAGTCTCCAACTCACAGAAATCCTCCTGCCTCCCAAGTGCTGGGATCACAGGTGTGTGGCACTACACCCAACTTTTTAGTGACACTAGCGGTTAAGTGATTTGACCATGCCCTCTTGTCTTACAGGCATCGAGTTGATTGCTGCATTCTATGGCTGCCTGTACGCAGGGTGTATTCCTGTGACTGTCAGACCACCTCATGCTCAGAACCTTACTGCCACTTTGCCTACTGTCCGTATGATTGTTGATGTAAGTACCAACTGTACCTTGCTTTGTCCTTATCTCATGAAGCCCAGATTCAAACAACTAAGGATCCTTAATAATTTTCCAGTTTTGTTAAGAAGTTTTGCTCTGTATGGTGGCATATATTTATAATCCCACTCAAGAGGCTGAGGCAAAAAGATCATCAGGAATTTAAGACCAACCTGGACTACATAGTGAGAGCCTGTCTCAGACTACTTCCTTCCCAAGTGAAATTTTTGCTGGGCATGGTGGCAGATGTCTGTAATCCCAGCACTTAAGGCAGTTGAGGTAGGAGGATAGTGTATTAGTTACTCTTCTCTCCTTGCTGGGACAAATACCTGACACTGAATATGAGGGAAGGAAAGGTTTATTTAGCTCACTGTTACTGGAGGTTTCAAGACACTGGAGGAGAGGCTGGAGTGCTGCTGTGTCCAGGAGGACCCTCTCTACCTCTCTCAGAAAGCACAGGCTAGCCAGTTTAACAGTTTGCACCCCTCAGGCTGTGCCCCTCAAGCCACTCATTTTTCCTCCAGCCACATTTGCCTCATAATTTACATAAGGCTTTGGAGGGACAACTAGATACAAACCATAACAGATAGCAAGTTTGAGCTTGGAGCGGACAATTTAGCAAAACCTTGTCTCACACCTTGACCAGGTGTGGTGGCAGACACCTGTAATCCTGGCACTCAGGAGGTTGAAGCAGGAGGATTAATACAAGCTTGAGATCAGCCTGGGCCTCATAGTGAACTCAGAATCAGCCTGAGCTGCAGACTGAGGCCTTGTCTCAAAAAAAAGAATGGGAATAGGGCTGGCAGCAAGGTGAGTACAGAGACCCTTAGGACTGCAAAAAGAAAAATCTCAAATTTTTTCTCATGAAACCTCTCTCCTGTTCTTTAATGTGGCCAGTGACCATTGTTATTCAGTAAAAGAACTAAAAATAAGTAATTATTAGCAAGATAGGGAATTGTGGATATGAATCATGAGCACTAGAGAAGGTAAAGCCATCATGAATAATTCTCCGTAAAACTTTTCCACTCCTTCATAAAACGTGTTATTGGTCTGATACTTTCCTATACAGTTAGCTCAGTAATTTCACACACCAAACTCTGAATTCTCCCCAGTGGTCAGGTCACTTCTATCTTAGTTTTGTAAAGGTAGTTGGTGTAGCATTAAAAGATGTCCAGGTCTGGTGTGTGGCACATGCATTTTAATCCCAGCATTCTGGGAGGCTGAAGCATGAGGAACATAGGTTTGAGCCCAGCCTGGGCCACTTAGTGATTTAGTGACTTTGTCTAAAAAAATAAACTGGGGGGAGCAGAGACATACCTCAGTAGAATAGGCGCTTGCCTGGCAAGTGCAGGGTCCTGAGTTCAATCCCCAGTACCGCAAACAAACGAACAAACTGGGAATATAGCTCAGTATGAATGCCTGAGTTTAATCTCTACTACTGCAAAAGAAAAGGATGTCTGGGGCTTGGAGGATATAGCTCAGTAGTAAAGCATTGGTCCATCCAGCATGTACAAGTCCCTCCATTTGATCCTCAGCACATCAAGAAAAAAGAAAAGTCATCCAAATTTTATTCTGGAGTATGTGATACAAAGTTGTTTTGTTTTTTTTTTTAACCAGTTTTAAGGATTGAAATTAAATACATTTGAATTGTATCATGTCCTCATGTGCATTAAAATACAAGGCAGTGTTGCCCTGTGCGCTGAAAGGTTATAAAATCCTAATTAATGTTTGCCTCTCTGAGAATTAATGCTCTGTCAACAGCATAAAAATCATGTTCATCAAAAAAAAAATTTTTTTACACAGTTTAATTTAGCAGAATGCCTTTGTTGTAGCCTAGAAAATTGGCCAGAAAATCAGGGGGAGGAGCTTCTTTTGTTGATTTGCCTTTCCGGCCACATCCATGTCCTTTGAGCACCTTGGAGCTCAGGCTGTGCCACCTCCATACACAAGACCAGCATGGGTGGCTCCATGTGTGCTCATCTCACTCCCCTCATTCCCTGATTGTACAAAAGTCCTTGTTGTATTCTGGGCTGGAGGAAATCTGGGTATCTATACTGAGAGTATAACTAAATTATTTGAGAACCACTATTTTAACTATAACTTGTTGCTTGGGAAAAAATCCATTATTCCAAGAGAATTAAGTGTTACACACAGCAGTAAAACTGCCAAGGCCAACACTAGCTCTGGTCTTTAAAAAGTTAATAGTATTTTGTCGGTATCGTGTGTAAGTTGATTTTAATAAGAGCTCCTTACTGCTATCTGTCTGATTTCCAGGTCAGCAAAGCAGCCTGTATTCTCACCACTCAGACCCTAATGCGGTTGCTAAGGTCCCGGGAGGCTGCTGCAGCTGTGGATGTGAAAACCTGGCCAACCATCATCGATACAGGTGAGAGGAAGCAACGTTTCCCCAGAGCTGTTGCACAAGCTAGAACATTCGCCACCTGGGATCTTATACATTCTTATGCCAGATACATTTGTTCAGCTTTTATGTTGAAACACATTCCATCTGCAAAGGCAGAGAAAACCTGGCAAACTGCAAAGTTGATCCTTGTGTTTTTAATCCAGTCTGTGAGTCAGTTGTTTTAATTAGAGAATTAAGACAATTTACATCCAGAGTTCTTATAGAAAGGAATGTATTGGGCCAGCCAGATAGCTCAGCGGACCAAAGTGCCTGCTTAGGCAGAGACCAGCGGCTGGGATTCGATTCCCAGTGTGCCATGCTGCGCTGGCCCCACCTACAGAGCATGGTGGCGCGTGCCTTTAAGCCCAGCACTTGGGGGGCTAAAAGCAGGAGAATCACTACAAGTCCAATCTATGTAATGAGACACTGTAAACCCTGTATTTATTTATTTATTTTTTTTTGGTCACTGAAAATTTATTTATTAAGAAGCAAATTAGTAATAGAAAATTTTCATTAATACATTGTACATTGTTATCTTCTTAGTGATTATCCATAGTACAAGAAGCAGAGAGGATATCCTGTCCAATTACTATTAGTACAAATCTTCCTTCTCATTGAATTAAGCGAAAGTAGCTGTATATCTATCCTAACTATTCTGTATATACAAATACAAAATGGTCCTTCCTTTGTATCCCCTTTTATGTTTATTCCTGTCAGAGATGGGTATTCCATTGGCATCTAAATACTATAGGTGCATGAATTCAGCAAAACAATTCAACACAATCCAGCAGTCCACAATAGTAGTGGGTTATCCACAGAAGTTGTTGACTAGAGCCTTTTACAGCTCAGCATATTAATATGGCTTTACTTGTTTTTACACTTTTCTGCTGGATGGTTAAGACCAAGACAAAGCAAGACCTGTATAACAAGAAATGTAACTTTTGTTTCTGATAAGGTCAGTCAAGTGCCCTCAGGATTTATCCTGTAATCCTGTACCACAGTTTACAGATCCTTTGTCAGTGTCAGCCATGTGGATGAGTCACAGCCATTGCTTGACCAATTAGCTCTCTGTGAAAGCCTGAGAGAAAGTTTTATCTCCAGGTGACTCTCCTTAGGCACACTATACATCATCGATCACGTTCCTCTGTGGCTCCATAATCTCCTTGATCAGAAAATTTGGGGCACGACTGAGTTACATGATGTTACAGTACAGGTTTTCCTATGTCCTCAATCTTCACTGATCTTGAAAGGCTAGGGCCCAAACATTGACTGACGCTGCAGCCCTTCCTTTTCTCCAATTTTTGATCTGCAAACTTAGGTTGTTAACCCTCCAGAAGGTAGCTTATTATTACCAAACAATACAGAATTTATTTATTTATTTATTTATTTATTTATTTATTTGCGGAACTGGGGATTGAACTCAGGCCCTTGTGCTTGCCAGGGAAGCACTTATTCTACTGAGCCATCTCCCCTATTTATTTATTTTTTTGCAGAACTGGGGATTGAACTCAGGCCCTTGCACTTGCCAGGGAAGTGCTTTATTCCACTGAGCCATCTCCCTAGACCCCAACCCACTGGGTTTAAATCATCATCCATAATGCAGATATGGGGTCAGAACTTTGTACTGTTAACACAACTAAGTTATTTTTTAAGAGTGTTGATGGTTTCACACTAAGTAGTTTGTATATTACATCTTTATTACATACTTGAATTTTTCAGCTGCTTGATAGAATAAGTCATCTGCTGTCATGCAAACCAGTTTCTTCCCCCATATTCCTCAGAAATTAAAGAACTAGAATAATGGCATACCAGCCCCACTCCTGGGTGTGCTGAGCTGGCCACTGACTCTGGGCATGGTGGCGCACACCTGTAATCCCAGCACTGGGGAGGCTGAAAAGAGGAAGATCACTATGAGTCTGAGTGTGACACATTTAAAAAAAATTTTTTAAAGAACTAAAATAAGCAAATCCTCCTTTTCTTTAAAATTTAGTAAACTGGAAATATTCTGACAATATACTATTGGTAAGTCTTTCAAGGTGACTTGTTCATTTGGTAATTTTTATGAATGTTATTAGGCCATTACTGATGGCTTTTTAAAAATGCCATTTCTAGTCATCTTGAGGAGTGGGTACATACAAAATATAACTTGTTTCCTTCTCCCCTCCCTTTCTCCTCTAATTTTCTTTTTCTTCGCTCTCATTCTTGTTGATATTAACTTTAGCTTCTGTTCATGGTTCGTAATGTTTCTTCTGTGAGGTCTTTAGGTTTCTGTACATGGCATATCTTCATTCTACTTCTTTTTCCCATCTCTTCACCCCTTGACCTTGATCTCTTGGACCCATTCCCATCTTATTATTATGCTTTAATTTACTTAACTCCAGTTTATACTTTTCTGCTTCTTCAAGGGCTCTATTCAAGCGAACTTCTGTAGCATTCTGAGTGGTGGTAGCCTTTTTTTGTAGTTGTCTTTTATTTTCTAGTTCCTTTTTATTGTATTCACATATAACATTATCCAGTTCCTCCTGCATAACGTGGAGTTTGGCCTTTAGAAATCTGATCTGTGCCTTTGTTCCAATATCTTTACTAACACCAGAGAAAATCTCATCATCTGAATGTTGAGGTAAGCCTTCTTCCTCCAGCTGCCCTTCAATTTTGCTAATTGTCTTTGCAAGAGAAAAGTCTGAGAAATCCTCTGGAATGGCAACATCACTGGCAGTTTGCATATTGCAATATTTCAATGTAACCCTTGCACTTGCCTCCCTCCCTTCCTTTGTGGACTGCAGCTTGTTCTGCACTCGGCTTACAGGACCAGTGTTTTTGTTCTTCAGTATTGCTTCCTCAGCTTGTTGAATAAGATCAGCTGTTTTTGCTTCTAATTCTGCATTTAAACGCTTGTATTCTTGCTCCTGGGCGAGAAGATCCAGCGACAGGAGTGGTGTCCCTGGGGCAGTGCGTCTCCTAAAGCCAAAACTTTGACTCGCCATCTTCCGCGATGCAGTTACCCCACCCTGTATTTAATGTAAATACATTAAAAAGAAAAAAGGACTTAATTCCTGTCAGATTATTTTTCTAATGCTTGATTCTAATTCTCAGTAGCTTATCGACTCTTCCCCCTTTAAAAAAAAATTTCCATTTTATTTATTTATTTATTTATTTTTATGTTTTAGGGAAGTGTCTACAGGGTGTTCAGAATCTCACTACTAAATCAGAATCATAGTGATGTGCCTGTTTACAGCCTCCGAAGAGTTGGAATTACAGGCACACATGGCCACACCCAGTCTTAAAAAAAAAAAAGATAAAACAAAATTTCAGAACAAGATAATAGAGTAACAATAGTTAATGCATTGCATATTGTTACTTTAAATTAGTTACTCAGGGATATAGCTCAGCAGCACAAGAACCTGACTGGCAAGCATAATAGTTCTGAGTTCAATATCCAGTACCAAAGAATTTATTTATTTATTTATTTATTGCTCAGAGTATTACCAAAAAAATATTTTTTTATTTATTGCTCAGAATACATGATATCAGCATTTAATTGTCCAAACAGTATCTGCACAAAACTTTCTTTTCACTGAACTAAGAGAAATTAGTAGTAAACTATCTTTTTATATATATTTTTTCTTTTCTCCATTCTCCCATCCCAAAATTTCGCTTTTTTTTTTTTTTTTTTTTTTTTGCGGAACCGGGGATTGAACTCAGGCCCTTACCCTTGCCAGGGAAGCGCTTATTCCACTGAGCCATCTCGCCGGCCCCCTGGGCTTTTTTTTATTGGTAGGTTTTTAATTATATCTTCAATTTCATTGATTGATACTGGGTTATTTAGGATATCTTACATTTCTTGATTCAGCTTTAGTAATTCATATATATCAAGGAATCTGTTCAGTTCTACATTGTCCATCTTATTAGAATACAAGTTTTCAAAGTAAGTATAGATGATCTGCAGGATTTCTGTGGGGACTGTTACGATTTCACTCTTTTCATTCCTGATTATGTAGATTTGTGTTTTTCTTTTCTTTTTGATAAGGTTGGATAAGAGTTTGTCACTATTATTTAATTTTTTAAAGAACCAATTATTCAATTCATTGATTCTTTTTGTTTTGTTTTGGTTTGTTTTTTTAGTTTCCAGTGCATTAATTTCTGCCCTTAATCTTTATAATTTCCTCCCTTCTATTAGCTTTTGGTTTAGCCCACTCTTCTTTTTCTAGAAGTTTGAGGTTCAACATTAAGTTGTTTTCTGAGATTGCTGTTTTCTTGATGTGGGTATTCACTGCTATAAATTTCCCTCTTAGCACTACTTCCATTGTGGCCAACAAGTTCAGATGTATTGTATTGCTCTTATCGTTGTAATTGTAGAAAGTATCTAATTTCTTCCTTCAGCTGTGGCCCATTGATTTTTTTTCAGGAGGGTACTATTTAATTTCTATGTATGTATGAAGCTTTTGTGGTTTCTTTTGCCATTGATTTCCAGTTTTATTGCACTATGGTCTGATAATATGCATGGTATCATTTCAGTTCCTTTGCATTTACTTAAGCACATTCTTTGAGCTAGCATGTGGTCTATTTTAGAGAATGTCCCATGTGCAGCTTATAAGAATGTGTATTCTGTACCACATGCAGTGTTGGCCCCACCCCCCCTCCCCCAGCATAATGAATAGAAACAGGGCGTGGTGGTGCTGGCCTCTAAGCCCAGTGTTGGGAAGACTGGAAACAAGAGGATCCCCACAAATCCAAGCTGCATAGTGAGACCCCATACCAAATACATTAAAAAAAAAAAAAAAAATGTGTATTCTGATGTTGTGGGGTAGACATCTACTATAGACATCTCCTAAGTCTTATTTGTTCAAAAGTTTGATTCAGTTCTACCATTTTGTTGGGGGTTTTTAGTTTTGGGTTTTTTTGTCCAGTTGATCTGCCTTTGTGACAGTGAGGTATTGAGAGTCCCCAGTATAATTATATTAGTGCTTATTTGATATTTCATGCCC